AGCTATCGTTTACTGTACAGTTATATGTGCCTATATATACTGTTATATGCATTGGCATATGCATGTACTAATTCTATTCCCATTTTTCTTCTTTCCTCTTGTCAACCACGCTCTCATAACAGACAGCAATGCTAGTAAGCTTCTCTCCATTGACATATCTTTTTAAATCACTAATTAAGTCCCAATATGCCCCGCTTGTCATTTTCTTGGATCTGTACAATTACATCTCTTAGCATGCCCCAGTGGTGTTTTTCCTACATCTGTAGAACTAAAAGTTCAAACACACTGGTATCTTTTAAGCTTTGTACCAACCCCAGCATACCCACTGGTGTGTCTACTATCTCTAAGGCAGCGGTCGCCAACCTTTCGGACCTCATGGACCACTAAATTCATCATTTTAAATCCCGCGGACCACTAATATGAATTTTTTAAAAATATATATATTCTCATACTTTTTGTTTCTCATATATAATTATATTGTATGTAATCATCGTGAAACAATATGTTTTTCACAGTTCACAACATAGGCTTTGAATTCATAGCATTTTTTATGGAGAGCAGTAGCTTGGCAGGTTTCCAGCTCTCTAATGTAAACAAACATCAGGTGTTTCTATGCTGTTAGAAACTAACTGGAACCCCACTTTAGAGTCTTTTTTGTGATCTTTGAGAATTCATAACTTCATATCAAAAACAGCTAGAGAGGTCAGGGATTTTTAAGATTTGGTAAATAGTTTAAAGTGCATGTGAATTTTGCACTTTTTTATTTTATTCCTAACAACCATCTCCTCCTCCTGGTAACTTGCTTTCCATTGGTTAAAAGCAAAAATACTCAACATGGAAATAAAAATGCTTCAAAATTCCCTGAAAACACTCCCAGCCCAAGAACAAATGGTGATATCTTTCTTAAGGATTAAAATGTAACATTGCTTGACTTCCTTTTTTAGGTCAATGTCACCTAGTGTAATGCTTTACAACACTGGAACATTGTCAAAACAGTAGCTGATAAACATATGTACTATCTACAACAGTTTATTGTGTTGGTTATTTTTACTACACCGCTGCTTCACTACAGTGTTCCTATACAGTATACTGGCTCCCATATGCAAGTCAAATATTAGTCAGATAACATACATATCTAGCTGTACCGCAACCCCATATACTATCCCATTATATTGTCCCAATCTAACAACATGGCATATTATCATTTTTTGGTTTTGAACATCATACAATGTACCAAAACACAAATCAGCAGAAAGTTAATTTTATTATTACAATAATTATGTCTGTGTTCTAGGGAGCCATGTATACACCTAGTTTGGAATACTGGCATACTGCAAATCACCTTGGAGCTCCATGATCAGCATAAAAGGACTTGGCCTGTGGCCATGTTCTTTCATATGGTCATATAACTCTTTGATGTCTTCCAGTGTCACAAAGGTGCTGTATTATTGCACATATGAATATTTTAATGTATTCACCTCTCTTCACTTGCATGACTTGACTGGCAGGAATGTACTATCAGATCATGCTGTGCTTCTGTCTGATATTGGCATCAGTTGATATGTCTCCCCATGTTAAACATCTGATCTAACAAAGCAAAAATATACCGATAGTAAGATCTGTATTTATCTCCAAAAGACAAATATGCCTTTTTATACTTTTTCTGGGACACAGCCATTCTGTAAATTAAACCAACCAAATACCCATTATGTCTTACTGCTTTCATCAAATGCTTATTGTGACATGCCGTCAGTCTCTACATTTACCATCTGTCTATAAACCTTGCTACGCTGTTTTAAAAGATCAGAATAAGAAATTGTGCATGTTTTACCCAACAATTTTGAGTTGCTGTGGGACTTCTTCATTAGCTAGTTTCATGTTATAGAAAAATAAAAAAGCAGAGAACACAAGCCCCTGGACCTCTGATCATTAACACATGCCTGACATGGGTAAAGCACAGGTTCACTGTAAGAGGTTTACTTTTAATGTAAATATTTATGTAGCTCCTGTTATATATGATTTAGGATGCTTTAAGGGTATTTATAAATTTATTGTCAGATTTCCACTTTACATTTGTCTGAACGAGTTGTTTCCCTATTGGGAGCTGACAAATGGAGTTTTAAACCTTGGAGAAAGGCAAACCCCCAAACTAAGGCTCGATATTGATATGCTAGCTGATATTTCATGCTTGTGATAACATTTTTTTATATGTCACCATTGGCTTTACTTTACTGTATCTATAACTTTGCATTAACTCTGTGAAGGAACACTGAGTGAGAGCTGCAATTACCCGTGCTGGAGGAGGCATACCTGTATATTACTTACAAAATGGTTCTCAGCCCTCTGTAAAGTGCTATGTTTATACAGTATAGTGGCGCTGTATCAATAGGGGGAATAAATAAATAAATAAATAAATTGATTTATCAGGAGTTCTGTGCTGCCTTCAGGTCATGCGTAGCTGTTTTGGAGGAGTGTGAGCAGCTTTATGCAGTTTTTTGTGTGGAACAGTGTTCATGTATCCACTGGAGGAGATAGAGCAGTGTTCATGATAGCAACCTAATCTGGACTGCCAGCTAACCACAAGTATATGTGCTGCTTATCATTATTACAACTTCAGCTTGGTGCTTGTGTAATTCAGTGCATTATCCTAAAGCTAAACCCAAAAGCGAAAATGCAATAATTGCAGCTTACCAATCCTTAAATGTGGTGAATACATTCGTTTTCTTTCTTAGACTTTTTCTCTTTATTTTCAATTGGTGATCTGGCCAATAAATCTTTTATTTTCAACTTTAATAGACCAAACTGTCCAGCAAAAGTGGCAGAGAGAGGTATGAGACATTGCATTTAACACCGACAGTGGTGCCTCCACTGTCAGTTTTTATTAATTTACATAAAACCTGTATCCCAGAAGAAAAAACAAAACATAACTGTTTAAAAAGTGTTACCTTGAGTTAGGATTTATAAAATATATTACCCCTAAATTTATTATTTTAAATACGTGTCTTTCTTTATATGTATATAAATGCTCTCTGAGGGCCTATATGTAGGCCCTCAGAGAGCAAAGATTCGTCTCGCTACCCACACATGTTAAAGACACATAAAGCTTCTTCTTCCACGGGGTGCTGTGACTCTTAAATGTTATCTCAGTGGTAACAGGGTCGCTTTAACACAGATTGATAAGGTTATTTAAAACAAACTTTTAACATTCCTTTTAACTATGAAGGTCTGTTATTTATCTCTGTTATGGTCTCTCAGCAGTAGAGAAACAGGGTGTGAGGACCACTGACTCCTAATCTGAAATGATTTAATTAGAAGTATTCTGCGCTCTTACCCCTTTTCTTCCTTTAAGCAGCTGTGCTAATTATCTATAAGATACTATCAAAAGTGTGGTTTGAAAGTCCACTGTGCTGTTTGTGTTCCCTAAACCAATAAAAGTACTCTACTAAAAAGTGTGCAAATTACTGTGTAAAACTACTAATACAAAAATCTATTAACATATATATACAGTATATACAAATAAACAAATAACATACATTAGATGCATAAACTCTCAGCATTCCATGTCCAAACAGAATTTCTGCATAACAGTGTCCAGAAAACATACAGCAATATAAATAATGCAAAAGTCCCACTGGTGCTTATCTTGTTCTCAAAATGAAACTCTTTGTGCACATCTCCAATAAGTTTTCTCCCTAAGGTATGCACACTCACCAAATCCTATTGGCTGGAAATGAATATGGTCAAAAGGCTTGTTATTATTAATGCACAGTGTCCCCTTCATATGACACCTGTGCCATTCAGCCATCCTCATAGACATCCCATCTCATTCATAGGTGTTAGACAAAAGAAAAAGAGGCTCTCATAGTGTAAAACTGTTTGATATTTATTCAGGAAGAAAACAAATTAAAACCACCAAAAAAACATAGGTGCAAGACAGAAGAGACTCCCAGGTGGAAGAGATTAAATGATCGTGTTTCTTGAATTTAGACTTTTACTCCATGAAACACACACATAACTATCACAAGACAGTGATAGTTATGTGTGTGTTTCATGGAATAAAAGTCTAAACTGAAGAACAACGATAATTTCATCTCTTTCACCTGGGCGCCTCTGCTGTCTTGCACCTACGTTTTTTGGGGGCATTCTTGTCTCATCTCTCCAGTACACTATGAAATACTACACTAAGTCGGATCTGTCCTGGGACTTTTTGCCCTCAATTTTGGTGCTCCTACTGTTTGGAGTTGTTTCTATTTCAATCTAGCTGTAAAATTATTGCACTACATCATCAGCAAACACAGAGATTGAGTTATTTATTCCAACCTCTATATCATTTATGAATAAGATAACCAGAACTGGTCCCAAGATTGAACCCTGGGGCACTCTACTTATGACTTTAGACCATTTAGAAAATTAGCTGTTTATCATTACCCTCTGAATCCATTCCTGTAATGAGTTTTCTACCCATGTTCATACAAGTTATTCAATGCCAATAGACCTTAATTTGTACATTAAATGTTTGTGGGGTACTGCATAAAACACTTTAGCAAAGCCTGGTGAACTATGTCAACTTTGTCTAAATTACTAGTTACCTCCTCATAGAATGTTAATAGGTGGGTCTGGTGAGAACGGTCTTTCAGTGAGCGCTTTATACAGTACTGAATTGCAATGCATATTGTGAGCAGTTTTATTTTGTTTCATACATTGAATATTCAGATTTTTACATAAGCCAAAATGTGATTGATTTGCTGCACATCTTACTGTAAGTAAAGCATGTTTAGGAAGAATCCCTGCTAGGTGTAACTTTTTAAATTCAAATAATGACATTAAAATGTATATCACACTATAACACACATTAAAGTGTATAGCTTTCATATTAAACAATCCCCTGATTCTCCAGATGCCACATTTTACCCTGGTTTGCTATTTCATCATTACTGTTATCGTGACGGTCATTAAACAGTACAAAAATACTTCTTCAATATATAATTAGGAATACATACCAGAAAATCCCATCAGGGCTCCTTCCCTTGCCTGTCTCTGAAGCCCATCTCCATCTTTGTAGTCTATGTAAACAAGATCAATGGCTTGCATGCCAAATGCTTTGGCAACAACGATAATCTTCTGCCTGGCATACAGGACATCATGAGTGTCTTTGCTGCTTGTTGCACCTTTAACATATGGATACACAAGCGTTAAAGATCATATGCTTGATTTGGAAGATACATTTTATGATACACAGTACTAATCTCAAATCAGCTAATGTGATGAAGTAAGCAAAGCTCAGTTAACATTATGAAAGACAGATTTCGAATGGCTTCACAAAATGTTGGCTATTCTTTTGAAAATGACTTAATTATATAAAAAATAAGAAAGGAAAACATGTTTCTGTATTTCTGACATTGATAATGATTAGTAATAGTCATCTCACACGTACTTGACGTATCACAGCTGAATGTCTGTGAGTGAGCTCTCCATCATTAGAAACATAAATTAGGACTAGAGTAAAGCATAGTCTGAAATACAGCATTTATGACACAAACTGAGAAGAATCAGCAGGTGCATTGGATAACGTACCCAGTATGTGTTTGCAGGGGGCACATTTTAATCCATCATTTGTATATACTGATCAGCATATGTTTCCAATTCCCCACAATCACTCATTCCACAGAAAAACAGAGCCAACAGCAGCAAGATACACGTAATAAATATAACAACATCCTTCCATATTTCACTTAATTGCCATGAGTATAACACAAAAACATTACTAGGTAATAAGTTTATCAACTTAAATATAATAGAGGGACTAAGTAGGAACTATGTGTACACAAGAACTGAATGTAATATTGTTTTCTGTAATGTAACAGACATGGAAATAATCCAGCGAGATTGGCAGAGTGGTTCTTGCAAGTTTTTAGAACACTTTACATCTCAGATATCAATGGACAGCCTTAGCCTTTAACAAAACAGCTAAGCACTCTAAAATTTGCTCTACTATGTTCTATGCTCTACTGATTGCTACTTGCATTTAATAGTCGACACACTAACAAGAGTCTTTTTTTACTTGCTGATTGAATACATTTATTTATTAGAATGAAAGCGTTGAAACTGGACTGTTGGAGTCTCTCGACATCGCATGGTTCAAGTGTTATAATGAATCTCTGCCGAAGATATAGGAAGCTTTTTCTCTTAACTTTAACCACTATAAGAGTTTTTCAAGGAGAAGGAGACCTAGAGAGTTATTCAATAAAGAGCTGAAGGATTCTGCCGTAGCTTCGGCTGATCCTTTGGCTCACTTAGGCTGCCGGAACCCTTTAGTTCAGTCGAGCTGAAGGGCTGCTGTATGGGCTATTCACAATAGCCCTTACAGCAGCTGAAGGCAGTCGAGCCGAACGCATATGCTGGCCAAATGTAAACAGTTGGGCGGAACGAGTGGTGATGTCACCACTAGCTCGGCAGCATTTGGCTATTCACTCACTGCTGTTTGGCCCCTATGAGAATAGGGGCGAATAGTAGTGAGTGAACTGACTAAGCTTCAGCTCAGCCTATCCAGATGTTGGATTGGCTGAGTCGAACGGCGTTTGCACTTCAGCTCAGGTGAACCATGCTTAGCATGTTCGGCTGACCGATGTATGGCTAAAATCAGCCATACAGAGCCGAAGTGAATAGCCGAACGCCATTCGGCTCAATTCACTTTGGCTCAGTTCACTTCAACTCTGTTGTTCACCCGGCTGCCTTCGGCAGCTTAGTGAATACCTCTCCAAGTGTGGGACAGATAAAAACAGAGGATTTATGGTATCCGTTTTTCACTTTTTAGTTTTAGAAAATTTGTAAAAAGCCATTGTCAGTGTTTTTATTTTTCTTTGTTTCAGATGAACAAGGGCACACTGGATTTATTTACATAGGGTAGCTAAAGGAGCAAGAAGTTAGCACACAAACTGCCCATGTACCTGGCATCCTCCTTGGGCATTGGCGGTAAGGAAATCAAGCACTAGTAGTAAGAGCATGGAGCTGATACTAAGAGGAATATAGACTTTCTGCATGAAAGGGGGCATGGTGACAGCCCAATAGCCATGTGGCATCTAACGCATATGTCTGATGTGCTAGTCTGATTTAGGCATTGGCAAGGGAAAGTCATACTATTTTTATTAGCTAGCAGATTGGTAATATTCAAGGATTTACCAGTTAGGATGTAAAAATGATTTTTCAGTGAGTATAAAAATCCTATTTTTTTCTGTTGCTCATGGAGACAAACAGCTTTATAGGTAATAAACAACCAAGAGATGCCCAAAAATAGTTTAAACTGAGGGGCAGGCACACCAAAACAACACAGACAAATCATCCCCAACAAGAATAAACCCAAAACAAAGTGAAAACAAGAACATTATATAGTCACTTGCAGATTTTTGTTGTCCAAAATAAGCATCCATAGAGGCAGATACATTAACATCCTCCTGATGTTGGATCTATTTCTATTAGATCTATCTAATAGAAATAGATCTATTAGATCTATTTCTAGATCCAACATCAGGAGGAACTTCACTGCACTGGGAAAGTTTGAATAACTCTAAAAACAAAAAAATCGAGACTCTCTAAACGAATGCACTCATCAAAAGGGTTGATATACTGAGACCAGAGCTTATATACATAATTATAGTGGATTGTTTTTGCCTTAAATTGTACTGATTATAGAGACTTCCTTCCCCTCCCCCCCCCCCTCCTCCCCCCCCCCCTCATTTTTGTAGTCTTTGCATCTTCAAAAGCAGGAATAAAAGTACCGAGAGGGACCAAGAGTTATATCGGGAGAATTCCCCCTGTAGAAATTTTGAAGATATTAATTGCCGTAATCTGTGTGAGTGCATAGTATGTATGGAAGAATGCATGTATGAGTGTTATGGACAATGTTGTTCTTTTATGAAGATTTTTGTAGAAATGGAGTAACAGGTGCTGAACATGAGATTTTGTAACTAATAAAGTTTATACTTTTATAAGAAAATATAGAGGTCTCGGTCTATTCAGTAACCATCTTTTACAGTGTCCTTTCTTTTGAAAACACTGTTACCATTTTTTTGCGCTCATTACTCCTGGTTACATGACCTGGATGACCTATCCCAATAAACAAAAAGGGATATATATGGTATATCGGAGCTCCAGGGAACAAAACATTTTTTCTATTCTACCAGACAACACTAGTAAACTAGTATCCGGCATGAATCTACCAGTAGCTGCTGATAGTAGAAAATATTTGAATACAAGTGCAAAATCAAGCCGAAATATAACGCCCATTCTCCCAAGGACACTAAGTGTAACTGGCAATGTGTAAACTGGGAGGGGTTAAAGCCCCTAGGAGGCTGGCCTTCAGCTTCTATTTGCCTAGTGTACATGTCTTCTGTAAGCAGCAGTATAAACCTGGGTTGCTTTTTACCAATAAAGCTTTGTTCTGCAAGTGACAATAAATAAAAGTAAACTACAGGATAGTCTTAAACTGTTTTTCAAAGACAGAATTTCATAAATTGTTCCTGACCTGAAATGACAATGCTTGAAATTTCAACACGATGTATGTGTATTTAGACAGGGGATTTGCTATAGCTAGTTATATTAACATGTTGACCTTTATAAGATTAAAAACAGCCATAAAACTGTAGTAGTAAATAATAATAATAATATCCAAACATAAAATCAATTTTCTAGTTGTTGGTGACAGATTGCAACAAAGCTATGTAATAGATCTGAAAAGCAAGGTGGTCAGATTGCACAGGCTACAGATCAAGTCATAGAGTAGGAATATTCCTCCTTTCTTAGCAAAGATGGGACTTTCTGAATTAGTCAATTGTACACAGGGAGTGTCCAAACATGCAGGCAATGCACATAAGAAAACCCAGAATGATTGCAGATGAAGGAGTAGAACAATCATGATATTAACATGCAGGCTTGTGTTGGTCAAACATCATCCACTGAACTGACACCTCTTGAACTAGCTTTATATTGGGGGAAAGAGCTGCTGAAAAGCAGGCACCAAAAAGTGTCTACTATTAACTTTAATCAGAAAACTTTCTTCTGTGTGAATGATTTATTTTCACTTTGGTATTGGGGACTTCCATGACTTCTGAGCTAAGCACCATACATCTACATCCTGGCCAAGAAAATTGCCCTTATGGCCACTGAGGTGCTCTCACTGACAAGTGGATGGCAGTTGACCAAGGGTCTAAGAGGCCCTAGCAACAAGGTAAAACCGAATCAGAAAGTCACACACAACATGGTTTCTGGCTTATTATGTATTGTATGTACCTAGCCATCAGCCATAACTGTTCTTACTTTCTGACTTGCCACAAAGTTACAGTGTATACTTTATCTCAATCACAGCGCTCTTTTTAACCCCTACGTGACGGGAGACGTACAGTGTACGTCCCGGCACTTTCTGACTATATGACTGGCCACGTACACTGTACGTGACGAGTTATATCAGGCTTTGCAATGGTGGTAACAGCTGATTCTCAGCAGTTACCAGTCATTAAAGAATGTCTCACTATTGAGGCATTCATTAATTAAATAATTAAGCTTTTTGTAAAAGCTTCTTCCTTTCAGTAATGAAAGAATGAAGCCGTTACATGCAAATACAGGACCGCAATTTGTGATCCCGTATTTGACAGCTGAAAATAGCAGAGAGGTAGCAGTGACTTACCTCACCTCTCTGCTATTTGTTTTGACAGCTCGAGAGCCCGATGTTTAGATACATTTCACTAAAAAGATACAATGTATATCTTTTGAGTGAAATGTATCAGTTCTGATCGTCTAGGCACGATCAAAGAGCTTTTAGTGAGATCCTGACTAAAGTCAGGATCAGTCTCTAAGGTTATTATTAGCTGTCTAATAGCCAAAAAATTTTTTAAAAAAAGTTAATTTATCAAGCAGTCATAGTGATTGCTTGCTATAAACTGATAAGAATTTTTTTTTAACAAAGTGTAAAAAAATTAAATAAAGTGTAAAACAAAATTAGGAAAATAAAAATTATATATAAATATATTTGTTATACTATAATTAATATAAAAAAATTCTAAAAAAAATAATAATAATCAAAACTTGTGAAAAAAGTGTTTTCTTCTAGTTTTTTTCCTAATTTTTTTATTTTATTCAAACTAAGTGAGGGGTTAGGTACACATATGTGATATAATTATATAGCCCTATCTGTCCTCTAAAACATTTAGTAAGAAAGTATATTACTACTGTGGAAGAATCACACAGCAAAAATGTAAAAAGTGTGTCAGTCATTTATGAACAGAAACTGAAAACTAGCTCAGTCATGAAGGGGTTAATAAATATATTTCCCAATTTCTACATACATAGTGCACCTAAACTTAAAACAATATATATTATTATAGTGCATCAATAACAGTTCATATGTGTGTGTTCTTGTGTCACCCCATTTCACACCAAAACACTGAAATTAATGAACTGTCTTTGGCGTGACACAAGAACACATTATATTATATATTGTTTTAAGCTTATGTGCACAATGTATGTAGAAATTGGGAAAAATACTTATTAATAAGAGTGCTGTGATTGAGATAAAGTGTACATTGGTTAAGCTTCTTGTTGGGAGGTACACACAGCTGCTAGAAATAAGGGGTGGGTTATATTTTAATTTGTTTGTGGAATTGTTTTTTATTATAGGGTGAATCTGGGTGTCTGGTGAATGGGGTATCTAGTGAAGTTGCAGATTTCTTGCAAGTACTTTATATCATCATCTCCAATCCATATGTCTTTGGCCAGATTGGGCGATAGTCAGATCATGTCTACAGGCACAAATATTACAGCAAGTCAAGTATGTGTGGGATAAAAAAACAACCTAAGACATATTTTACTTTAGATAAGTTACTTTTATATATTTATCTTTTAACACAATGGGTCCCATTCACACCTATGCATGTGAATTATCATGCATGTTGTAATGCATTCTTTATTGTGCCAATGAGTGTTGAGGTACATGTGCACAATCATTTTCTATGGGCTCTCAACCTGCATCCACACAACTAATAATGCACATGTTCTTTTTGATCTCCCAGTGTATATGTATGCATTGTGGTACATCAGAGGTGTTGCTGTGCATGGATGTGCATTAGGGGCCCATTAAAAATGAATAGGAACACCCCAAAAATACATGCATAATGCTTGTGTCCAGTTCATACAGGTGCATTTGAAAGTTGGCACCACAGTGTTGCAACATGCACATAATCGTGACGAGCTTGTGTGAATGGACCCCAATACGGCTTTTGGAGAGTCACTGGTGTGGTCCATTCAAATGAATGGTGAAAGAAATGCAAATTACACAGAAAGCTGCCAATAATGTTATTTCTGACATAAGGCTCAATAAAACAATGCTGGTCCTTCATATGCATGTGTGTACAGTGCAACCAAACAGTATATATTCTGGCCTTAGTGAATTTGTTTTCCCAGGACATCCAGTCATGCCCCACTTGCCATATTTCTCCTTTTTTATCCCACATAGCAAAACAGGATTTGATCACAACCAGTGTTATAATATAATGAAATTGTGCAAGCAACAAAAACTAACATAGAAATTTACATACATTCCATAGGTCCTATCACAGAAACTACCAGTTCATACCTATACTGGCTCTGAAATCTTCAGCTCCAAAGACAACTCCATCCAGATGAAGGCCAACTCGAGGTCCTCTTTGTAAAGCTTCTTCACAAACATTCTAAATATAAGCAGAACTATAAATAACATCTGTCATGGAACACAAATCACGTGTATTCATTTTGCTTTTCTCCTAATGGCAACTATAACTGTAGTAACAGTTATGTTATATAACGCAAGCCAAGAACAGTTTACATATTCAGTTATTACATGTAAAGCTTCTATCACAATATCAGTACACTGGTTTTCCTCATATATTCATACAGAGCATATACTGGAGAGTAAAGATATACTGCAATTTTTAAGTAAAACAAACTAAAGGTAGCCATGTGCTAAGTAATTCTGTGTCAATTGCAATTTGCACTCAATCCTAAAAAAATTCCAGAAGGATTAAGGCAAGCTACCACTAACAGCTTCTATAGAAATGCAAAAATGAAGATGAAAACTATTGGTGTTAGGTTGCTTTAATCTATTTGATTGTTTTGTTCTTGACACTGGTCAAAAGTGGTTAAAATTGCTAGAAATAGTCTACTACATGGTTTGAAGTGAATCTGTGATTATTTCTTTTGACATACAATTTTTTACAGATTCTTTCCAAGCAGTAAATAAGCTTTAAAACAAGCCTGACCTCAGTAGATGCAGGCACTGTGGAGTGATTCATCCTGCATGTTTATAGCATAAGCACTAAAATTCTTCACGTGAGTTTTCTGAGTAGCTTAGCTCACTGTGTATAATCACCGTGCCCCTACACTAATACTATGAAACCTAGCGCGCTGTGCTGAGCGGCTTCCCATCTGCCCTAAAAAAGGTGGTCGCTTGCTCTGCACAGCATTGATTCAGAGAACACCTAGTATATTTATCAAAGCATGCAAGGCATTCTCTGATTGGACAAGGGGTGGATTGTGATGTCAGTGGGGAAGCAACTTTGCACATCACATTACCATGACCGGGAAGAATGCTGTTATGCACTGTAATAGCTCTGGCTACTGTGGTGCTTTACATGATCCCTGTGGGCAGCTCAGGTATGACATATGCACACTTACATTGGGCTGAGCTGGACCAATGTAGATATGCAAAAAAACCTTATGTCTGGGGTTTGTGAAGTGAGCGGCTGATACTTTAGTTTATTAACCCCAATGGTACCTCTAATATGAGAGGAGGTATAAAAGAGCTCACACCTTTCATGGACTAACCATATTGTCACCTCTCCTCCTTCTTTAGTTGTCAGATCATCTTAACATGCTGTACATGACATGCTTGTCAAATCATCTTAACATGCTGTACATGACATGCTTGATACTAGCAGATGTGATTTAGAGCATTCAAGTAAATTTTCAACTGATCAAACTTTCAGTTATTTAACTGCGGCAAGATCTTGATAAACCTCGCTACAAACTGCTCAGACAGACAACTTTCTTTGCAGTTACAGTTCCCATACCAGTGCCGCGCAGCAACTCACTGAAACACGTGTGTCTGCTAAGCATGTCTGAATGCCTTCTCAGTGGTGAAGGAGGAACATGAATAGATTCTGGCAGAAGTATTTTTGAATTCCAAGTTCAGAAGAAATGTTCTCTCGTTTTTCTGGGACATTTGTTTTCCAGAATATTTACAGTATATTATGGTTTTGGAAGCACACATAGATGTCTGATACATTTAGACACATTTTATATACAAGACCATAGTGCTGTTTCAATAACACAAAAACACTACAGAATCTCCAATGTAAACATAGAGCAGGTGCTCTGGGAGGGGTAGCAGGGTGAGCCGAGATTCTGCGTAAATGACCTCAATGCTTTGGCTATGAACTTTGAATTAAGTGGATAAACTCTTCCACAGTGCTTGTAGCTACAGAGGTGCGCTTTTTATGAAAACCAATTTACTGCTTGTTAAGAATATGTAAACACCTAAGTGAATATGCGAATTTCCAAAAGCCTGGCCATAGTTCCATTTTAAGATAAAGATGATACCAAGTATGGATGGCTCAGTCAGGTCTAACAGTATTCAAACATGCTGATTCTAATCCCATTCTTAAAGAAAAATGAAAAGAGTGATTTTTTTTGACACATCAGTATCCTCAATATTGAAAAATGTCACCTAAACAATACTAGTGTCATTTTTTCCTGCTTCAGACTGAAAAAAAAACTGCATCTCGTTTTAAAACTGACCAGGTGTACAAACCTTATGCAGCTAAAAATTTCTAAGTCAAATATAAAGCAAACCTGGTATTCACTGGTTCCCATCTATGTCTAAAAGTAATAGACCAGAATGTAAACCAAGCTAAAAAGCCCCTTTTAAAAATGAGAGAACATATTGAAGGAGTGATAACCACCACTGGTGCAAAATGTGATCCAACTGTCTGGAAAATGGAAAAGATGTGGATCAAACCTGCACTGCTTTGGGCAGTCTGTTTAAAGGCGACTTATGGGGTGAGTGAAAAACACTCATCCCTATAATTCAAGCCAACCTGTGAAACTGAAGCTCTCCCAAGTCGGCTCTATTGATCAGGAAGTCAGCTATTGGTGGTAAGTGTTCGCCGATTTCCTGATCCTCTTCCTTCAGAGATTGGTGACCACTGGTCACCGCTCCGTGCAGGGATTCCCCCTCCCCTCTCCGTTTCTCCAGCGCTGACTGGAGGGACGGATGGGGAGGTAAGGGGCACAGCTGGCTCTGCCTCCAGATAGGCAGTGCCTGCTATCAATCAGCGTGCGGGGTGGATCTCAACAGTATTGTGTGGATCAGTCCCGGCTGTAGAACGGCCCTCCACTATATACTGAGTTTTGGGTCACCGGAGGACACAGTATATGTCCTCCATTGCAGGGCAGCCATCAGAAATTTTGGGGCCCCTTACACGGCTTTAGGCCGCGCCCCCCCACGCTGCTGGATGCAGGGCTTAGTGACGCACTGGACGCAGGGCTTAGTGACGCACTGGACGCAGGGCTTAGTGACGTGTTGGGCGTAGGGCTTAGTGACGCGCTCGACACAGGACCCACCTGAGAGTGACCCTGCAGAGCCCACCATAGATGCTGCACAGCCCATCTGAGACTGTCTATGGTGGGCTCTGAAGGGGTCTCAGGCGGGCTGGTCAGGGCTGCATCCCTCCCCTCCCTCCTTAGCTCCTCTTACCTGCACATATGGCCCCGTCTGCCGCCGGACCGGCCAGAAGTGACGTCACTTCCGGCCAGTCCGACATCAGACGAGCAGCGTTGCTGATGGGGCCCTAGCTTGTCTCAAAGCCGCTGGAGCGGCAATGCTGGGGCCCTGTGCTGCTAGGGCCAGGCCTCCGCCTCCTCGCCCTTCACCGTCGGCCGATAGTCATATAAGGGACCCGGGCGGGCCCCCCAGGCTGCCCGGGCCCCTTACATGAGTATCGGCCGTACCCCCCTGATGGCTGTCCTGCTCCCTTGACTTTCCCTGTAAATAAATATCAACTCATGGTGAGCCTTGAAGACCCTAACATAGGCTGCTTGTCTATGCTCAGGTCTAACATAACCAATAAACTCTGTTTCAGGCTACTAGATGGGGGTAAAACAATTAGTAAGCAAAGTCTTTAGCTTTCTTTTATGTAATCCTGACAACAAGCTTTATGAGTGTCTCGTATCAATACTGAGCTCAGACAGGAGACTGGAAAGTCTCTATGGGGACCCTACAGCTGGACAACTCTCCTCACATGATGTCACTGAAGTGTAGGGCTGCACTATCATAATTATTTTAGTTAAGAGTTTCAGATCTCTACAAATATACATTTATGAGTGGTCCAATATTAGGGTAGCAATAGACATGATTTTTATTTTATTAAAAGAAACATCTTTCTATTAACAAGTGGAGAGTGGATGTTTATGCCACGATCTCTGGAATTGGCCTCATCTCAGGAATACAATTATGTCCATGAAAATCCAGTTCCAAAGATGTAGTTAGTCAGGTTGAAAAAAGACACATGTCCATCAAGTTCAACCTATAGAGGTATGAGAGAAAAAAAAAGAAGAAAAGCCTAAACAGAACGCTATGCCCACAATTACCCACTGTTGATCCAGAGGAAGGCAAAAAAAACCCCCCTATAGACATGATTTTTATTTTATTAAAAGAAACATCTTTCTATTAACAAGTGGAGAGTGGATGTTTATGCCACGATCTCTGGAATTGGCCTCATCTCAGGAATACAATTATGTCCATGAAAATCCAGTTCCAAAGATGTAGTTAGTCAGGTTGAAAAAAGACACATGTCCATCAAGTTCAACCTATAGAGGTATGAGAGAAAAAAAAAGAAGAAAAGCCTAAACAGAACGCTATGCCCACAATTACCCACTGTTGATCCAGAGGAAGGCAAAAAAAACCCCCCCTATAAAGCATGGTTCAATTTGCTTCAACAGGGGAAAAAAAAATCCTTTCTGATCCCATAAGCCAATCGGATGGTCAATTCCCTGGTTCATCAATCTCTGATGCTTAATATACCTGTATATTATCTTAAAATCAGTTTTACCCAAGGTTTGTCTGCAGAAGTTGCAACTTATGTATAGACGTGTGACCACTTCCCAATCTGATTATTATTGGTTGGAACTGGGCAATGATTGTCTCATGTCTATAGACCATAGTGTGGCCTAGTATGTGCCAGTGATGCAACAGATTAGAAGGTTTAACTATAAATTATAGCAGAACCTCAGAATGTAAGAAGCTCTCATTATCTCAGGAAACAGGAACACTCTTTTGCACTCTAACTTTGCAATGTTAGCATTGCTGTATTTTTCAGATGCTTACAAGCACTGTGTCATGACAGGCTCAATATGGGGAGACCTGGGTGGACTGTGCTGATGGCTTACATGCCCTGAAAATATAATTTGATGTGATCTATTACCTAGTGGAGGAAAGATACAAATGTGAGGTTAATGCACTGGTAAAGCAAACCTCAGTGCTCAAGTCAAACTATTAAAATGAGCTTCAAGAGGGGGAGACTTTGTGTCTGGAGTATTATTAGTTTAGTAGGTGTCAGCAGAGCTTTAGGGCTTGTACACAGCACTATGGTTTAACACTTAGTGAGGTGGTTGCTATGTTATACTTCATAGTGTGTTTACTTTTATTTTGCAGTCCTAATTCACTTCAATGGTTCCAGCCTATGAGCAAATACAACTCAAAGATGAACTCCTTTAACTGATGCAAATCTGCATCCTCTTTTTGAGTGTACTTCTCTAAATAAAAATAGAAACTTATACAGCCCTAGAATGTACAGGAAGGGCCAAGTTTTACTTGTATTAAAACATCAAGATGAATGCTGAAAAGTTCCTAAACACCAGCCACGCTCAATAATAAAAATGTTAATTGTATTACAAAACATAGGAACAGTTTAGCACAATTAGACACATAAAATAATAGGTAGGAAAATTGTGTAACTCTACATTTTTTGGCACTTTACACTATTTGCTACTGAGCACATTGCAAGATTAACATATCTGCTGAGAGGTGCTACATAAGCAGAAAGTAGCCAAAAATGTGTCCAGAATTCTGCAGTATGTGATTCTATAGTTGTCCCACTTTAAAATGACCTTAGTGAGGTATCAAAATATGTTGAATGTAGGTGAATTTGGGTTAATTCCTCATAACATTGAACTTGTAAAAACATAAGAAGTGCACTTGGTGTGCACCTCCAAACACTAACATGCTGATATATGGAATATACTGCTCTAAACTATTTGCAAACTATTTTGGCCCATGATGATGGTTATAAAAAATGTAATGCAAAATGTACCGTTATATTCAGCAAACAAGTGAATGGTTGTTGATGTGTGTTATGACACGCATTGATGTGCAATACAAAGTACATTGGAATGAGTGTAAGCATGCATGGCAATGCATGTTGACATGCACTTTGATGTGTTTTTGCGGATTCCAATGGAAATCCCATCAGGTAAAGAAACATACCAAAATGGAAATCAGCCTTAAAGGTGTTGTGCCGTAACTCACTGCAAGCAATCAGAATTTATCTCGTACTGGTAACTGTATGTTTTCTCTAGTACACTTACCTTGAAGTTGAGCAGTCCTATGGCAGTTTCCACAAAGGTGACCAAGTAAATTGGCTGTGCCAGCTTTCTACCTTTTAAGTGGTGTAGAAACTTTTCTGTGAACTGAAATAACAAGCAATTTATTCATTTACTAATTTCTACCAATGAAGATGTTAGTTATGGTCCTAGAAAAAGAGAAGCAGTTTGGTAACTACATTACAAGAAAAAAAAAAAGAAAAGCTTGCTGTAATATCATGTACTTTGAATTACAATAAATGGGTGTTGGCAAATCACAGTAAAGGCTAACTACAATGCTTGTATTCTTTACTGCCTTCAAGCCTGGAGATAACTTATTACTTGGTGACAAGAACTCTTGCCAGTTTTGCCTTGTGGTAGTTGACCTGAAAATATTGTAAAACAACTTCCTGTTTCAAAGTAAGTTTCATTTTTTATTAATATTATTATTATTATTATAGGAGAGGGCATGCATTGTATATATGAAAATATTAATAAACTCTTTTTTTAATATGTGTTTACAATTTCAAATGTTATCCATGACATTTAACCTCTTCGTTTTAATTCTAAACATGGCATTGTTTTTATCTCAAGAACTTAACACATTTCTTCTTTGGTGTCTATGGGAATAGAAGCATTGGCTGATCTATCTATCTTAAAAGCCTAACTGAAGCAAGGTTTTTATTGTTTTTTTTACATTTTGGATATAGAGCTCACATTTCTTTTAGGCGTTTCTTTCTGTCTGTAATCCCAATGAGGAGATTTCCCCTCACTACCTGTCCCTGTAAAGCCCCTACAAGAATTAGAGGGCATGGCCGACACCCGGATAAGAAGGTACAGACAGCAATAAAACATGGTCAGCTGTTCTAATCCTTCCGCACTCTATAAAAATGTGTTTAATTTGTTTGTGTGTCTATTGGGAGATTACCCATCACTTCCTGTCTTCACACAGGAAGCAATGACATTTGATAGAGACTCTAACCCTTGCTATATCCAAAACACAAGAACATGTTTTGGCTAGAGTTGGGATTTAATTGCAGTTGATATGGCAGCTACTACGAAACACAAATTATGGTACATAAGTCTGCACTGGCTGGGCGAAGCAGTTCAAAATGTGCCCTGCCAACATTTTGTGCACAGCAACTCATGGCTGTATTAAACAAGAGTTAAAGTCTCGTAGAAATAAGGTCTGCTCCATGTGGGGGCAAATATACAGATTGCAGATACCTTGGAGTTAAAGTAGACCTTTCCCAAGTGAAAGACGAAGGCTGCCATTACTAATTTCTCATTCTGTAAATGCTAGTTGCCTGGCTGTCATGCTGAACTTCTGGCTTCAATGATTTGAGCTATTGATCTGGACCAAGTATACAGATAAGGAATTCCAACTTTTTATGATTTTCCTGTCCAATTCCAGGTGCATTGCTATTTAAAGACAGTGGGTCAGCATAACAGCCAGGAAACTACTGTTTTCTGAAAAGGTTTGCAATGGCAGTCATAATTTCTTTAACAGTCAAGGTTTACTTTAAACAGGAACTGAACTGTGAAAGTTATAACCAAAAAAGCAGGCAGAGGGCAAAGGGCTAGCCACCGGTATTGCCTGTGGTCTCTATGCAGCTGATCGTTTCCTTATTACGGACTTACAATGCCATGTTTCCCACTGTGTCTTTGTGCGGAGGTGGCCATCTTGGTAGAGACAGGGTTTTGCGTCCTCATGTTAGAGCCTCGCACAAACAGTGAGGAGTGTGATTGCAGTGAGCAGCACAGTAGTGACATTAACAAATCTCCTGAGATTAAAAGTCAGAGGCAGTAGTTGTCTTAGATCTCACATTGCAGATATACAGATATGAGGCCAAGATAAAGGTGTGCATAGCCACCCACACACACACACCAGGAAATACAATGCTGTATTTTCAGAGGAACTGAAGACAAGGTCAATTTTTCAGTGTACTGTTAAGGCACAATTAACATTTCTTAAAGTTCCCAATAACATAGCAAATCTTTACTTTTTAAGGTCAGGTCCACTTAAGGATCATACACACTTTCTGCAAATTAGCAACTATCAAGAATGCACACATAATGCAACAGAATGCAGGTACCTTTCATGTAGTTTTTATTATGGCAATGCTTGAAGTCATAGAAAAGATCAAGGTGTCATGCTAGATATAGTCATGCATAGAATCTACCAAGTGGTATATTTAGTGTTTTTCAGATATAGGAATTGAATATCTGCAATTAAAGTATAGAAAACAGTATCAGTAAGGATAGGGATGCTGTCCTTCCAGCATCCCTATCCTTACTGATACTGTTTTTGTACAGAGGCATGGATGGAGAAAGTTTAGCAATATTGTGTGCAAGACATCTTATTACATTATATACATGTTTATTTTCCATATCTCCACGTTTTCTAGGTTTCTGCATAAACGATAGCCTACCTTTAGTAACACTTCAAATAAATAAAATAATAATACATTTTATTAGGCTATTTCAGCTGCTGGAAGTAAAGCTTCTTCACATTATTTATTCTTTAAATAATAATAATTTATCACAGTACACAGCACCAAGTCTGGAGAAAATTCTCAATGGCCAACATAAATAAATATATAAAGCAAGTCACATGCATCATCTATGGGAATCTTACTATTTACTGGAAGATAAGAAAATTTCTAACAGGTACAATAAAGTTCTTTATGAAAAAAACAGCAAAAATGACAGGTTTGTCCAATTCATTTTTTTCAAGAAATATTCTGCCATTGATGGATATCAAAGGAACTGAGAATTTTAATCATCTCTCTATTCAATCTCAGTTGGGTAAATCATATCTAAGAGATTTGCATAAATATAAACCATCAAAGACTTTTCATCTTCAAAGGGGGTTTCAAGACCCTATAAGCTTTGTACTGTAATCATCACAGGTCACAACCCTGCAGGAACAGGGCTGCTATGGCAACATAAAAAACTAATGCTTAAGGCTTAGCATAATATTCTGACTAATAGAAAGGAAACTCATTCTAAAAGCTGGCAGCCTATTTACCAGAAGCTGGATTAGAGGTGTTAGTTCTTCCCCTTTTAGCTTTTTCCCCACAGCCCCCCTTCTCCATCACTTGAACCCTCCCCTCATTCACCAAATCAAAACATCACATCTCTGAAATACGTAAAATATCCATCCTCTAAAATATGTGCTAATTAAAGAACACACACTGGAAAAAAATGAATAATTCAAACTTAGAAAAGAAAACAATGCAAACTGCAACATTAAATACCGCACAACGTTGCTGCAATAATGACAATTTTTTCCCCCTCAGTCGACATAACTGATAAACACAGCACATGTTATATTGAGGCTTGGGACTTTTGTTCTATGGTAGAAGGTCTTAGCACAGAAGAAAATGGTCTCCTCCCTGCTGATTTTAAGCCTGTACAACATACATTATCATACCACCTGGAAATATGAGAGCAGCTTACAGAAGAGAACATCTAAAATGTTACATTAGCTTTTCCACCTTTCAAAGAATTTAACTCGTGCTTCCCTGACACATAATATTTACTTAGTGATAAAACTTAAAAGGTGAGCTTCAGGGCACCTTTCAATTAATATTTTTTTTTTCTCTGCAAAAAGGGGACAATTAAATGTTTCCGGCCAGGCAAAGTGAGGAGGTGTTGGGGAGGGGGTGATAGAAGGGAAAAAAAAACACAAAGAGATTGGGGAGGGGATGAAGTAGCAGCCTTCAGCACTTCTTTCAATTCCAGTGCACACCCAATAGTGTGCGAGGAAGAATGCCCACTGTTCAAGATTTGTGGGAGAATTGTCCCATGACAAAAGAGGTAGAGTTACGCTTGTTATTCTCCAATAAGCCATGCCAGTCAAACAAGTACCCATACTTAGGACAAAAGGAAAGCAAGGGATTGTAGCACAAAAGAAAACAAGTAAGCCCATCTTTCAGTTGTGCATCAGCTTCCAGGTTTTATGCTTCGCATAAATAAAAATGAGAGAATAAAAAAAAAGGATGTCTGGTGTAATAAGAAAAAAAATCTCTTCACTTCAATAAAAAAAAGAATTAGTTTAAAAAAGGTGTTAAAATGTGTAACACATTCTTTAGATGAAAGGCTTTTCAGTGAATTGAGTGGCAGAAAGAGAAAGGGGAGAGTGTGGTGAGGAGGAGGCAGGCACCCAAAGCTGATTTTTTTTAAATTTTCTTTGCTAAAATTATCTTGGACATAAAGGTTAACCACGAGAAAGGAGGGGAATGTGTTTCCCTGGCTTGGAAGGGGTGAGGAGGAAAAGCTTAGAAGGGGCGGCTGATTTTTAGATATATTAAATTAATTCCTTAACCCCTAACTGAAAGAAGATGAATGAAAGCCATTGCAAGGCACACTGAAGCTCGGAGGTAGCTGGCAGAACACGGCTTTGGAACATAAGCAACCGTAGCAAAACTCTGCTCAGGTGAAAAGTCTAGCAAATGTAGTCTGGGAGTTTCTCCACTGAGTTAGTAAGTAACCCCCATGTGATAGTTTTTAATAGCTGTAAAGCAAGTCCTCTAAGCTCTTTTGAGCAGCTCTATTGTATCTATGTACAGTATATATGGCATGTTCTTAATTTGACTAGCTAATTGCTGAGGGCAATGTTACGAAAGTAAAATGACAGGATAGTGGTTAAAATGTAGTGCAGACAATATACTGTTAGAGGGCCTGGATGTAAGGTGTTTTAATCTGTTCTGCCATGTTAACAAAAAAAATTACAGCTGCAAATGTATAGTCAGATAAATTGTATGCTGTGTATGATCAAAACAAACTTTATACTAGTGTTGGTGTAAAAACATTTAATAGCTTGGGATAAGCCTTAATAAACTTAAAGATAGAAGGTATTCCAGAAGCCTTTGGTTTCCAGTACTGGTGATAGAATTTTGGCCCTCTGGATATATTTTTTTTAATCCTTGATTTTAATTAGCATTACTTCCTCTGCATTGCTTAGTGGAGCACAATTCTCACTTTCAGTGGCCACCAAGAATGATTAAAACCCCAACACACATAGCTACATGAATTGGCCATGGTATTTAGTGCAGGGGTCAGTATACATCATTTCTGGAACCTGTATGAATACATTCAGAAAT